TGAATGTACCTCATACACAGTGTACAGTTCCTCTTCCCTGCCAATGTAATCGTTGCATTACAATTAAAAAGAAATAGAAAAAGAAATTAACACATTTAAATGGCATGCATGTAATTTAAGCTTATAGATGATCACCTGGAGAATAACAGAGAAATATATGAAATATATTAGAATTTGTGATAAAAACAGACGTAAGAGAAGAGACGTGCAGTGAAAGTGTCGGCTGGGACACACTGATTCTAAGTGCAGAATAAGGTGGTTAAATTAAAGTGTTATTGGGGAGTTTTGGGAGTTTCCAGCCCGTCTGACTCAAGTGAACAGTACACCTGTGTGGTCACGTTGCTGCTTTGCAGACGGAGTCGTGGCGTCCGGCTGCCTCTGTGGACCGTCGGCTGGACATCAGGTATGTTCAGCACATCACGTATGCAAGCAAAGGACTTTTTTTTTCCTCAGATAGACTAAAAATTCAAAGTATAACTGAAATAGACATCAAATGAACGCACATGCTGATGGTCTGAGTAATAAACACACAGCGGGATCATTCGCCGACACGTCTGATGCTGTGCTTACTGTGGAACATCTCTAATATACAGTGTGAATGTGTGGACGCTGGGCAGTGTGTGTGTGTGTGTGTGTGTGTGTGTGTGTGTGTGTGTGTGTGTGTGTGTGTGTGTGTGACCCAGCTGCTGCTGATCTGCCCTCCCCCATTCTCCAAGGACATTTGGCCAGCAGAGAGTCGAGCCCTTTGTCTGCTGATGTCCCTCCACCTCTCTCACTTTGACCATGCTGTGATGCTGTCTACTCTCCTCCTCTGTGTCTCTTTCTCTGGGTATCCAGTGTTGCATGTCTCCCCAGTGGTCTCCCATCTTCCTCCTCTTTTCCTGATGTATTGGTGTGGATGCTGTTGTGTCTCACACCTCTCTCTACTTTATCTCTCTGTCATGCATCAGCCCCTCTCCTTTCATGTCTATGTATGTATTCACTTCCACACCAGTCTGACCAGTTTAGCCTTGTGCATGTCTCCTATGAAAGGTAAATTGACTTCACTCACCGGAAACAAGCACCTTTTTCAGATTTCAATCTTAATTTCTAAGGCTTGCCTGCCCCCTTGTGGCCACAGAGAACATTGCTCAAGATTCTCAAATTGCACCATTTCTGTTTGAATAAAATCTCAGTTTTAAGAAATCAGTCATCCATCCATCCATCCATCCATCCAT